TAATCAAATAATCTTATTATATGTAAGGGTTTTGCAATATCATCGGATCTTGTTATATGTATATCAAGCTTTACCGAATGGATTACATAATGTTATATGTCATTCTATCATTTGTCAATTTAAAATACAGTCAACTTTTTCATCCAATATTTTTCCTTCACATCATTTTATGTAATTCATTATGTACCATTTTTATGTACAAATAGCATAATCCATATCATATAGTTGAACACTCTGTTCATGAGAATCTGATTTATTCTCAAAGTGGTTGAATTATAATCCAAACATATGTACCTGTTTGGAGAATTGAGATTGATGATAAGAAGTTAGTTAATCATACCTAAAAATATGTTCTTGTTTTGAGAATTAGAAGTGGTAGAATTCTCATAATCATGATAGAAAAATGTAAATTTCTTTTCCAAAATTCAATTATTTTCTACTCTCTGGACCATGGCGACAACATGTCACTTCTAATAACAAACCAATGTATTTCCACACAATAATGACTTCTATTTGGATAAGTATTATATCACTTAAACATTATGAATCACGAGGAATACCCCCCCCCCCCCCAAATTAAAGCATTTTTCCAAAGGAATATGACTTAAAATCTTGATGAGGTTTGTCAAAAGTAAATAATGTGAAGTAATTAGAACGTTGAACCTCGTGTACTAGTATTTTCAGTCTTGACAAAACACATAATCTAGAGACTAGAATTTTAATTTTTCACAAGATGCTTGAGGATTTTTAATACCCAGAGGTTAATTGGGAAGCCTTTTTATTAAAAATTTACAAATTTTAACAAAATTTGATAATAATGTGTGGTTGAATGTCCAAAAAAATCATAAATTCTTGCTTAAAATTAAAATCGAACCAGTTGAAAAGTTGACAAAATTTTTAAAATTGTTTATCAAGCTTTACACTAAATAGCCAATATATGCACTAATTCGCCCAAATTAAATTTTTAGCATATTTTGATAGGGTTGATAAAATATATGATAAAAAAGTTGCGGGTCTCCTAAAATATGTGATTAAATTTATTGTTACTTTTAACTTAAAAATTTAATCTAATTTTAATTCCCGCAAAAAAAGGGAATAGGTAATGCCGTCTATGTCGTATTAGAAGACTCCTATGTAGTGGTCCATTCTTCCCCCGTTTCACACTCCCAAATAAATATCGTGCAAAAACATAAATCTTGGCTATTCCTATCAAAATTGCATAAAAAAGAAATGAAAATATTATCTTATAATTTATTCATTCATTTACAATAAGAGAGAATTGCCGAAGACTGAAAGTCTACCTCATGTGGAATAAAAGAAATCCAATCATCAAACAGTAGTGGGTGGAAGAAAATTCTTGTTATGCAAATGAATTTGTTCGATCTGTAAATTTTTCAGTGCCACTCCATCAATTCTTCTCTTCCATAGATTCACACCATCACAGCCGCCACCCGGTGGCTGCACCGTCTTCACCACCGGCAATGGCGGATCCAGTTCACTGATATTGACTTTCTTATTGCCATCCTTGATCTTGGACCTTCTTTTACCGCCACTATTGGTGGCTGGCACGAGGGTGCTAGAAATGAAGTTTTTCAGTTGGGTGTGTGGGGTGGTGTTATAGTGCTTGACAGTGGTTTTCGCGGTGGTGATGGTGGTTGGATAGGCAATGATTTTGTTGTTTCTCTTGACTTGGCCTATGCAGGTGACTTTAGGGGATGAAGGGTCATTCAAGAAAGAGGAAGATGGATTTTTTGAGTGGTTTATTTTAACGTCTTCGATGGATATTTTGCATAAAGTTGGCAAGAAAATGGATTTTTGATGAGGGTGAATTTGTCGATCATATGATCCACAGCCAATTTCTGCTAGTAATGGTCTCATTTTGTGTAAAGTGTGTATGCTTGTGTTCAATATAAAAACTGATACTATGGTCAAACACTTTTGGGGAGTTTATATATAATTATACAGAGAGAGAGAGAGAGAGAGAGAGAGAGAGAGAGAGAGAGAGAGAAATATGTTGAAAAATGAGAAAACTATTGAGATTGGTGCACGTGTACAGTGTGCGCTTTGGACATAAACGTGTGTGAGACACCCGATTTTATTAATATATATTTATAAGAAGATGATGACACGTGGCCTTTGGCTGTCCATTGGATTAGGCTTTTGGATTCTTCTTTGGCTTAAAACGTTTCTTCTAACTTTGGAGTTCACTCACTTGTCACTTCTTTTGGCTTTTGATTTTGAGAGAAATCAAAAGGGTATCATCTTCTCTCTTGAAAGTCTCATTTGAGATGCTCAAATCTTTCACTCCCTTTTTGTTTTGGTTTGATTCTGTGTGAAATCAATGGAGGAAATGTTGTTTCCTTTTGCTATGACGTTCAGATTAGGGTGTGCATGTGATTTGGCTAGTTCTTGGTGAATATAGTAACTTGAATAGTTAGATTGGTTTGGAAGATAAGTCTGCTTTGACTTCATCTTATATATTTCTTGAATATTTGAAACCATGGTAGCCGTTTTGAGTATTCTAGTGCAACAAGCGTCATCCATTTTTATGGATGCTCAACTGAGGATTAGATATTAGAAGTGGTTACTGAACCTCTAGAGCTTTGGCCGAAAAAAATCTTTTGTGTTCATTTCTTTATTTTCTAAATTTTTTTGTTGCATTAGTTGGGTTTCCTTAAATTAATCGTTTGGTTGTTTGATTTATGGACATTTCATTGATATCATTGCCTGCATTTGTGAAACTAGTTACTAAATCTTCAAGAAAATTGAAGATCTGTGACAGATCTTCAAATTTGAGGACTGATCTTTGACAAAAATCTAAAAGAAATCGATTTTTATAAATTCGTTTGGTGAGATGTTTAAATTTTTGCTATTTTTATAGTAAGGATTTCTTGTTTTGTTTCCCTTATTTTTTTCATACACCAGCTCTCTCGAGATTAATCTTAGTCCAAAAGCTCATTTAAGATGTCGAGAATTTGTGATAAATTCAGTACGGGTGTGTATTTGGAGAGTCTTGAAGAAGAGACCTGGAAACATTAAATGGGATCTTTGTTCTTTTAGTTATTAGTTATTTGTGAGTATTAATTATACATGTTCTTTGTTTGTGTGAAATAAAAATTGTGAAATGATGTGTACTATCTGCAATTAGGGGATACTTTTGAATTTGGCTTAGTTTTCTACAATTGTATATTTTCATAATGGACTTTTGGGTATTAAAAGACAAGGATATCCTTAAGTATGTTATATAATTATAAAATATTATTTTGTTTAAAAGACAATGCAACCTTTTTAGTTAATTAGTAAAAATCAAACACTTCTCATTTAAAATTATAAATTTAATAGCTACTCAACCAATCAGTCCGACTTTTTTTAATTGAAAATTCTGTTTCCTAGCAGTGTCGATTTTTCAACTATTTTTTTAATATAATTTAAAATTCTATTTCGTCATGCAGATATGCTTGTAATTTTGATTTGTTATTTCGATGATTTCGAATTGGATGAAAAAGATGGATGGATATGGAAGTATACTAGTGATGTATGTGTGGTGATATCCCAATTTTCATAATATCAAGTACATCATATGCAAAAGTGTATCATGATTTACAAAACAAGCTGAAAGTCAATCACTTTCAGTATGACATGGAAATTAGATTTATATTCAACGAGTATTTATCAATTCCAATTTTACTTATGAAGGTTACTTCTAATACTGAAGTGAATTATCTATTTGTATTAAACAAAATGCACACAGCCCTTTTTTTTTTTTTTTGACTTGAGTGATGAAGAATGTCGTCGAAGGTAAATACGATGATTCCGATGGAGCGGATCATAATGACGATAATTTTTGAGATACAGTGGAGATAGCTAGTAAGAATGATGTGGTTATTCCGAGACAGTTGTTTTTCATCGTGATCTCGCTTTTGTGCATAGAATTCCCTTGTTAATTCAAGACAATGAGAATGAAAATGAATTCACAAATAAGGATTTGATTGCTTTATTCCATAAAGAAAACTAAATTTACCTTTAAAAGTTTAAAAATAGTTAATTAGATCTAAGTATCCTTTGTATTGCATTATGTAACAATTTAAAGTGCCATTTTTATTCTCCCAACGTTCAATACTATTTCATTTTCATCTTTTTTTTTTCTTTTTTTTTTTTTTTTTTTTTTTTTCCAAAAAAAAACAAAACTTTTTTTTTTTTTTTTTTTATAAATTTTGATTTTTGTTGGTGAAATCTTTTAAGTGGATAATAAATCCACACTTCGAGCAACGGCAACACCTATTGTTTTCTTACATTAATGTTTTTCAGATGCATATTTCTCTTTTCTTTCTAAATAAATAAATGCTTGTTACACAGATGTTTTAAAATTTCTTTTCTATTTTCTATTATATGGTCCAAGTGCCCCCACCCACTTGCAATTAATTTTAACTTTTAGCTGTATTTCCCTGAATTTTTGCCTTTTTAAGTCAGGACATAGAACTTCCAAATCATGCACATATTGCCTACTGTTGAAATACTTCTATTGTCTTTTATTTAAAATTTTCTATTAATGCTGTGGGATTTAATCTTGAAAACTGTTATTTGTTAGTTTATTTCTATCACAGAATTAAAATAATGCCCTTTTCCATGGCAAAAAATGAACACTTGATAAGACATGATTTTATGTGGACACGTGTTAATCATTTGAATGAGTATTACCCCGACTTTTGAGACGATGCTAAAATCTGATTGAGTGTGAATTGGCTGAATCCAGTTGGAGCATTTATAGATATAACATTTAGAATTGGATAAAGGCAGGGTTCTTCGCTTTTGTGACATGTTTTAACATAGAACAAAATATGTTTTAACATAGAACAAAATATTTAAAGGAATTTCCTTTGTGAAGATCGTGGTGTGGTGCTCATTTTTAGGTTGAAGAGAGAAAATTTGCTGATATTTGTATAATAGTATTTAAAAATATGCGATCTTTAAATTTTATGGGTGGACTGATAGCCTATATTTTCTCAAATTATGAGCATTTTATGTCATTCTGCAGGTTGAAGATGTGAAGAAAACCATAGAAACTGCTCAGGGATCAGATATTTATCCTGCTGCACAACAGATGCTAATCTATCAAGGAAAAGTTCTCAAGGATGGCTCAACACTGGAAGAAAATAATGTTGCTGAGAATAGTTATGTTGTCATCATGCTTACAAAGGTAAAACTTGATATGTTGCTTGTCACTGTGTGCATGAGAAGAAATAATCCGTATTTACCTTCAGAACACTATTATAGGCTGCAGCCAATTTGTTTATCATTTGTTTCTTCGTTTCAAAAACATTTTACCTTATTGTTTTGACTTTATGGCCTTCTGTCGTTGCAGTATATTTTTATGGCCAGAAGATTTTCAGCAGGAACAATAGTTTAGAAAAATGGAATCTTCATTTTATGCCTGTGAAGGCACATGGGTTTACCACCATTTCGAGATGATATTCTCAAATGAATATTACTTTATGCATGTTTCACCAGCTTTTTCAACTGTAATGCCAGTTATGTGAATCAAGGGCCTAAATTGATAATAATGCACATGACCCATTCTTTGTTTTGTGTTAAACATGGAATTAGTAGAGAGGCTATGAATTTAGATTATGTTGGATTCAGATGCACATCAATATGTGAACTTTGCTCTAGGGAGCTTTATCTGATATGAAGGTGATGGATATTACATTCCTAGTAAAGGCATTACCTTCCTAACATGGAAGATCACATGCCAAATTACATGCTTTTTGACTTGACCATAAAATTTATATTATGATTTATTAATTTGAAATTTGCCAATTTCATATTTTGGTAACTTACCTTGTATTGGTATGAATTTTACGTACAAATAGGACTAGCCTTGTTGAATAAATTATACCTTATTTTTGAAATAATTGTGATTGTCTTTATAACTCTTTTCAAGGTCTCTTCTCTTCTCTCTCTCTCTCTTCTCCACTAATTGTTGTCAAAGCCTACCCTTTTAGCTCACTGAGGCCTTTTTAATGAAAAAAAGGAGAAGTAAAAAAAAGGTAGCCATGGACAGGCTACAGTTTACGACACTGTTTAGCAGTTAAAAAAAAGTTACAGTCATGCCACTGTTTAGCGAAGAAAGTTACTGTTGATTCTACTATTCAACAATAACAAAAATGAGAGATTTGCTTGAACCGAGTTCAGCTGTCCAAAATTTATATTCCTCCAGCCAAAAAAATAATCTTGCCTTCTTATTCTGATCCATCGTTCCACCACTTATTAGCCTAACCCAAATTTCCAACTCAATAGCAGCATTTGATTTCTGGTCTGTTGTCCACCAAAGCCAGCAGCCGAATCCTCATAGCCCCATTCATCAATGTACGGCAAGTCGGCAACTACCATCCTTGCATGGTTCCACATCATCATATAAAACAGCTAGGAAGTGGTGCCCCTGCCTCCCAAAGTTGGTAGCTTTGTGGGGACCCAATCTATGGAGGTTTGTGTTTGTTTTGTAACCAGATCTTGTTGCCAGGATGCTGCCTTTGGTTTCTCCTTGATTATTCCTTTTAAGAATTTCTTTGATGCTTTTGACACTACTTGTCTCGAGTTGTTAGTAACTGTTACATTTGTAGTAGATTTTTAAATTTTTTTTTCCAATGAAATATTTCAGAACAAGAGCTCATCAGGTGAAGGTTCAACCACATCAAATGCTCCTGCTGCAACGGTAACGACAAATAGTATTTCATACTTTACTATTAATTTGTGTTCTGCTAATGCTGTTAATGTGAGTGAAGTTACCATTGTTCTCGTTAAATTCCACTTTGTTTATGTGATTGGAAGTTACCATTTTGCTCATTAAATCACTTTGTTCATGTGATTGGAAGTTTCCATTTTCACTCGGATTTCTTCCGTTTCATTGATTTTGTTTGGATCCTCCTTTTCTTCCGAAAAAAAGGAAGGAGAAGGATTTTTCTAGATAAATTTCACTTCTGTAAAGCTGTGATATATCTCATGTTGGTAGGAAGATGTTCTGCACTATAGGTAATCCTGTGGAAATTCAGATGTGTCTAGTAATCATACATGTTGTCTTTGACTTCATTTATTTCCTTTCAACAAAATTATTATAGGTATGAGCTAGAGCTATGAGCACCAATACGCTCATCGCACCGGCAAGTGGGTATCCAATGCGTGTCGGATACTGACATGCTTCTGATAATGGCATATTTATTAATCTTCTCCCTCCCTGCAATTTTTTATTTGACGACATTGTGTTTTCATTTTTGCTGGTTAAGGGTTTCACTCTCCTCAAACAGCTACCCTCGAAAGCAAACCCAAGTTTGACTTTTATATCCCCCCCCCCCCA